TGTTGGTGTGAAATCTTCGGCGAGTTGTAGGGCCCCGTCAAAGAAGAGTATGAGTCGTGACATAGTTTCTGATTATCAATGATAAGATACGTAAATCACATTAAAATACCTTTTTAATTCAATGAAAAAAAACTAAATATGTATGATATCTTATGCAAATATCTTATGTATCAACTATCTCTCCCTCATATACTCTATCTCCCCCTCTTAATCTCTCTCAACCTAAAAAAGAAATACATATCTTTGTAAGTTTGGATGTTTTATGTTTACCAGGTAATTAATTATAACCTAGGTGGCTGTGAGATTCACATGGTTATAAGGCTCTTTCTCTTGTTCTCAAGTGGAAGATCCAAGATGGGATGTATGTAGCTCCATCTCCCACAATTTTATTTATCTCTACTACTTTGTTTTTCTCTCATGCTTTGTCTTTTTTTAGTTTTTCTATAACTTAACTTTTCGTAGTTCTAATTTTTTTATCCATTGGTTTAATAGCAAATTAAAGTGTAACGGTAATCACCTCACAAAATTCCCCAAGCTTCACTTTAAAAAATTATTTTTAAAATTACGTTACTATTTCAATCTTAATATTATATGGACTCATAATGTCTAAACACAAGTAATTGATGTCAATGCAAGCTAAGCATTTTTATAGTAAGAGTTTAGGCCATCCTAAATGGTATTAGAGTAATAATAGTTTACTAAAATGAAAATATAAAAGTAGAGAATTATAGTCCAAATAAATAGAAAAAAATTTCAGATTATGATTTAAAATTAAATAATATTTTTTTATTTATTTAGATGTTTAATATTTAACTATGATATTAAAATTTAATGTCTAATATTTAAATCCAACTCAACTTCCCACTCTTATTCTCTCTCTCTCTCTCTCTCTCTCTCTGACTACAAAAATTTTACTTTTCTCTCATTGTAATTTTTTAACTAATTTTATAAACCCATCCGAAATAAACTTTTTAGAGTCCGTTTTAGACCACTCTAATTTTTTATAAAGATAATTATAAGAGTTATTAAGTAGAAAATAACTTTCTTAAAAAAAAAATTAGAAAATAAATTTCTTAAAACTTGTTGTACAAAATAATTTTTATAACAATTTTTTTAAATAACGAAAAAGTAGTAGACAATAAAAATTTTAGTTGTAATCGGAAAGATAAAACAGTTAGAAAGTTGTTTTAATAAAATTTTAATTAGCATGAAATAATATTCTTATCTTCTTTATTATTTCTTATCATAAAATAACATTCTTATCCTTTTTATTATTATTACTTAACAAATTTTAAGGGAATAAAACTCTCATTTTGCTTTAAACATTTACCTATCAAATTTTAACCATGACCAATATTGAACAAAATTTGAACATCAAATTTTCAAACAAAATTTCTAAAAAGCTTTCAGGAATATGGCAGATACTTATACAAAACAATATTTGAAATCCAATATTTGTTTCACTTATATAAATTATATTATGTTTTGGCATAAATATCTATAGCTACATCATTCTTTATAAACCTTCTCGCCATCACTCCAAAAGCAGTTTGAATCAAATTTATTTTACATTTAAAACAAACTACTAATTTACATGTAGTTATAGCATGGAATGGAATCTTTAGTTTAGACTAACAAAATTTAGTTAAATCCTCATAATGCATCATGAAGTTTATTGATGTTTTTTTTAATAATAAAAACTTGCAAAAAATGAAAGCTAGGATTTTTTCTATGATATGAAATTAAGAACATATAATTGACTCGAATCCAATTTGATTTACAACCACTACAAAGAGTTCAACTCAATCCTCATATTATATATAATCAAGTCATTTATCATATATTAAATAAAATCTTAGCAATATATATATTTTTTATAAATAACTCATTCTTTACTATTTAGGATATTTCACATTAGAATGGAGTTGTTTGGTGAGAGTGGTTCGCTTATATGAGGACTGTTAGTCAAACTTTAATGTCTAGCTCTTTACTCAGTAGACGTTAGGAATGGTTTAATTTTTATTCACTCAAAATTTATATGAATGTAATTTTTAATTACGTTTGACGGTTTCAATATATGTTGCACTGATCAAGGCCTTCGTTTCATAGTCTTACTTACAATAATCTATCTTTTCTTGCAAGAAAAAAACTGATAATATATAATGATTTTCAAAGAAATTGTCATAACAGTTTAGCTATTCAACCATCTTAATTCTTATAATAATTTTTTTTAGAAATGCAAGGCTGAATAAGCATCAATATGTTGTAGTTTATTTAAATTAAAAATTTAATTTAATTTCATAATCTTCTCAATTAATTTATTTTGTAGTGACAAATTATATAAATATGTAATAAAATTCATCAGAATTCTAGGCTAAAAGATAATGACCTACGTGAGTAAAGGCTCAGGTAATATTTATGACAACTAAGCTAATAGGCTCAATCTTAAGTTTTTTTGCAAAGTCTGCTTTAATTAATATTGTATTAATTTACTTAAACATGGATCTAAATTAGTTTCCTTTTTTTTTTCTTTCTCTCATTTCAATATTGTCTTTTTTATCTTTCTCATTTATAGTAATTCTTCTATTTCATCGATTAATAAAAATTTATTTTAAATCATATCAAATCCTCCTCATATAAATTTTATAACTTTAACATCAATTTTAGAGTATAATTGGTTATATACTAATTTTAATTATCTTTTTCATAATTTGCTCTTCTATTTATTTTGCGGTTTTTAATATGAATTTATAAATGATATATTTATAATTTACAATTAATTGTGGTTTAAATTCTTAAAATTTAATAGATCTAAATTCTTAGTGCACTCTCACTTTTAGCGATTGACTAAATTTAGTATTAAATATTTAATATTTTTTTATTGCTATCAATTAGGTAAGTAGTATAAAATTTAATAAAGTTTTTTCGTACATAATGTTTTCTTCTATAATTCATTATTTTTTTTAAATTATAGGCAACCGTGCATTTTATGCACATGCAATAAAACGTAGTAATTTAAAGGTTTTATAGAAAAATTCATCATTGACATCTTGATGGTTGTTTTAAAACAATTTCAGTCCTCTAAATCAAAATATTTTTCAAAATACTATAAAGTTGTTAAAATTATATAATACATAATAATAGGAAAAGATTTAAAATTAATCCTTCATAAATCTATCATTAAAATTTTTAAAGTTATATTTGCCCAACTCTCAACTTTTCTATCCCTCTTTCTTCCTATTACTAATAGGAATTATTATTATAAATTTAATATTTAAGTTCATATATAACCCTTTAAATATTAATATTATTAAATCTACATTATTTCTTTACTTTACCAACAATACGACTATGAAAACAAATTTATTATTATTATGCTCAATTAATAAAAAGTTCCATTTCAACCATAGTTAAAATAACCCAATAACAAAATTATCTATAAAATTAATTTATTTATTTAAATATATTTAATTAAGTTATTACATATAGTCTCTCGTGATTATGCCAAAAAAAAAATTTATCTAGCTCACATTTCTCACTCTTTATTCTCCTCTCTAAACCCTCTCTCTTTGTGCCTGAAAATGTATTTTTTTTCCAATGATTTATATCTACCAAATATTTTTTTTTTTTCATGGCAAACAATTCTCACAACTAAAAACGCACTATTGTATATAAATAATAACATGAATGGAAAATTAACACAATTTTACTTAAATTAAAAATATCATACTAAAGCAAATAACTAACACACATATATAAATTTTTCTATTCTAACAATATTATTTTATTCAACAATATTGCCAAATTTTTTCATGTCATTATATCAACATATTTTGCTCTCAACATCAACTTCTCAACAATATTTGAAAAAAAATTTCAACAATGTACAAATATGATGTAGAATAATACAAAAAATATTACAACAAAATTTGTAATAACAATTTGCAAGTATTTCTTTAATATCAAAAATAACACTAATTGAACATTATAAGATCTAAAAAATTAAATGTAAAGACTAACCTTAATGGATGCAACCGTTGCCTTATACTCAACCTCAAACAGCAAAATATTCTTCTCGTTATGAGCTGCTATTTATAGGCAAAATAAAGGATTAAAATTTTTTTTTTTCCCCATGAAATGAGTGCTTCATGGACCTTTAGCAAGGGGAAATCACGGGTTCCTCACCCAAACCAATTCCGCCTGAATTCTTGCATAGACTGGTCCGGGGTCCGGGCTCGGGTGATGAAGAAAACGAATGCCACCTTCGCATTCATTTTGATGAAGAAAACGGATTGCAAGAAAATGCGATCCTGCTTTGCGTTTTCTTCAGAAAATGCGATACTGTTTTGCGTTTTCTTCAGAAAATGCAAACCAGGATCACATTTCTGCTCCTTTTTAAATTTAATTAATTTCATGCTCCTAATCCTAATATATTTATTAACTTTGCTCCTTTTAAAAATTTGCCCTAACAAAAAAGAGAGTGATTTTAATTTCTCGTTTTTTTTTTAATTTTATTAAAAACAAAGTTATATTATTATTACTTATAGGTTATAATTTCAAAGTGAAGTTTTACGTTTTACTAATTTATGCGGCGCGGATAAAAATTTCGAACTTTTTTCCGTAGCAAATATCTTTTTTCTGTAACAAAAGTATTACGCCACGAGGCGGAACTGGAAAGGAAGCGAAAGAAACGGTACAAGCTCGAGCGATCTGAAATTACGACTATGCCATTTTGGAGAATGAAAGCGAGCATTTTCATGGAATGTGAGCCGAGGCGGACTGCTCCGCCTTTCGGGCTAAAGTTGGACCGGATAATAACGGCGTCGTTTATCCCGTTGTCTTAAACAAGCTGTTTACCAATGAAAATGCGCCACGTAGAAACGCCGTCGACTTTCCTTGGATTGCGTTGAAACCACGCCAGCTCGCCGACGCGCTTCCGATCGTCATCGCTTAAGAACCCCTCGCTCTTCAATTCGCATCTTCACAACTCACCGTATCCTCTCCGGTTACGCGAACCGGTTGTTATCCTTAGGAACTGGTCACCGCACTATCTTCTCCTTCCCTGTTCTACCATCTCTCGATTCTTATTAGCTAGGGCTTCGTGATTCCGTCTTTCACCCCGATTTTACCCTCCGCCGATCCGCGAGGGATTCAATTTCTAGAAAGATATTTCTTTCGTCGTAGGTTAGATTTCTATCCGAGGATCTCATTCTTTCTGTACCCATCAAGAAATTCGGTAGCTTTCTTTCACAAATTTGGGAAAGTTCTCGTCTTTATCTTTCGAGGTCTCTTGATCGTAGATCGGTTTCCCTTTACTGTGGCAATATGTCTTCGGCATCCTCCTATTGGTGCTACCGCTGCAGCCGCTTGGTCAGGGCGTGGCCGCAGGATTCGATCGTCTGCCCGGACTGTGATGGTGGCTTCCTCGAAGAGGTCTCCACCCCACCCCGCCTTGCCCGCCAGTATCTGCATGGTGGTGACGAGGCCTCACCCGCGACACCCAGGATTCGGCGCCACCGACGCGCCGGCGTTGGAGATCGCTCCCCCTTCAACCCTGTCATCGTGCTCCGTAGCCCGGCCGATGGTGGTGTAGGTCGCGACGCAGATCGTTTCGAGCTGTACTACGACGACGGGGCGGGATCTGGTTTGCGCCCCCTTCCACCTAGCATGTCAGAATTTCTGATGGGTTCCGGCTTCGAGCGGCTTCTCGACCAGCTTGCCCAGATCGAGATCAACGGCCTTGCTGGCCGCAGATTCGAGCATCCGCCGGCATCTAAGGCCGCCATCGAGTCTATGCCGACGGTCGAGATCTCTGCCTCTCATGTTGGATTGGATTGTCACTGCGCCGTGTGCATGGAAGCGTTTGAGATCGGGACGGAAGCAAGGGAGATGCCATGCAAGCACATCTATCATCAAGATTGCATCTTTCCATGGCTCTCGATACGGAATTCCTGTCCAATATGCCGGCACCAGATGCCGGCTGACCAAAGGGGTAATGGAGCTGCAGAGGCCCAAGTGGATGCTCGGAGTACCGCTACGGTTAGTGAGGACGAAACTATGGGACTCACTATTTGGAGGCTTCCGGGTGGTGGGTTTGCGGTTGGGAGGTTTTCCAGCGGGGCGAGTGCAGGGGAGCGCCAACTTCCGGTTGTTTACACTGAGATGGACGGCGGTTTCAACTCCGGTGGTGCGCCAAGGAGGATATCCTGGACTGAGAGAGAGAGCAGGAATCAGCAGAGGGGAGGAATTGGCCGGTTGTTTCGCAATTTCTTCTCTTTCTTTGGGAGACGGCGATCCTCGTCTTCTCGATCATCGCCCTCTTCTTCACCATCAAGTTCCGAGTCTGCAGCTTCTGAGAGGCACCGAAGAAGCAGAGTGTTTAGGTTCAACAGTGGCCTTCCTTCCGTTGGGCAATGAATGGTTTTATTTGAAGAGAGAAAAAATGATCATTGCTATGTATGAGAGAGCTTTAAATATTTTATGTTGTAAGCGCAGTTTTTTGCTCCGGCTCATTTAGGGAGGGGGGCTCATTGTAAAAGCTGAAGAAGGCTTGATGTTTCATATTTATAAAACCAGTGTAAATAGAAATGTTGGAAAAGAATTGCAGGGTTGCAGGCCTATTCTTGTAGAAATTTTGTTTGGTGCTTGTGAAGAAGCTTGTTCCGATTTGTCAGTTAGATATGGGAAGAGGTTATTTCAACTATCCGTTATTGTCACGCACTTTAGGCCAAATTATTTTGAATGCCATTTCAAAAGTAAGTTTTCGAGAAGTGTGTTTTAAAGATATTTATTTGCTGAAATTCATCCCTTGTGAATTAAATTCTACAAACCTTCACATTTATTTTTCTTTATTTATCATTATAATTATAAATAAAAAAGTATTTTAATCCATCACAATTTATTTTATATTGTGATATTATTGTAAAAAATAAAATGCAAAACTGATGTAGCTTTTCTAATTCTGAAGATTGAATCAACTTCTCATATTTTTGCAACGAATCTTCGAAGTTGGAGTTTAATTATGTCATTTTAATCAAATTAACTTATGAAAGCTACTTGAGGAAGTAGGATTCAATTACTTTATGATGTACTGCTTGCCTGTTATTTCCTTTGCCTTGCATTTTGTGCTATTCTTCACTAATTTGTAATCGAGTTCGGCTGTTGTCACATTGATGTTGAATTGAATTGCTGTCGACGACGGAGTGATTTCCTCGTTTGTTTTGGCTCGGTCATTTTATTTTTCTTTAGCTGCTTTAAGTTGCAAAATTTGTTTTATGTGCAACCTAATGGTAGCGTGCATTTGAATGTGTATTCAAGCAATCATTATAAGTTTCATGTTTGCTGTATGTTTGCAATATGGTTTCTACGATCATCTTATATCGCTGCAACTCTTGTTTTACGGCACAAGATCATGGTATCAACGTGGCCCACTCGAACTGCAACTACAGCTCTTGAATTTTGATCCATTCCAGTTGACCCCCAAGCCATGATGCAAATTTTGTTGTGCATTGAGGAGTGAATATTTTGTAATGTTGGACAGTAGATTGTCCAGTTTAACAAAATGAGGGAGCATTAAATGTTACAAAACAGTAGATTGTTGCGTGTGACAAAAAAGAGTGACGCAGAGAGTAAAAATGATATAACAAGCAAACAGAGAATGTGATGGACAGACCCATCTTTCTTTCCCTGTATCTTTATCTAAACCTCATCTTTCTTGATATTTCTTTTTTATTCATTGTGATGTACCTCACTACTATATTTTTGGGGCATTGAGGCTGAGTGGGCTTCTAATGAATTTGCACGCTGGAATTTCAAATGATAGAAGTAAAATAGGTTGCATGTAAATTGTCATAGCTTAATGTAATACAGTTTTTTAGTGTGGGCATTTGGTATGCGCATTAGTGTTAACCATGTACATTAACTAATCTTTCTGAGGGATGGTATTGCTGTTGTGTGGTGGAAAGAAAGATAACATTAATTATTGCTTGAGCTGTCATTTAAATCTGTTTGCAGCAGTATATCTTTATGTTCTCTGGAATCTTCTTTCTGAAAGAGGACTTGTCTTTTCATACCCTTTACTAAACCCAATGGGAAGCCACTGCTTCTTCACTCTATCGTTGATGATTTGGAAAGGCATCTAGCCTGTCCTAAAAGTGAGGAATCTGTTGTCATGTGGGCCGTTGACAGTTTTTTTTTTTTTTTTTTGGGACATTTAGGTCATTTAAGGCAAACTCACACACACAACGTATACACATGGACTCGAACCTCTTTAGTTGAAAGCCTAAAGCTCTCAACCAATAGGCAAGGAGGTTATGTGACAGTCTCTTCCTTTGCAAACAAAAAAAAAACTATCAGAAGCCGGAAACAAAATCCCTTATTGGTTTCATTTCTCTTTGAGCTATCAGATAATATTTTACTCATTATCATTCTGTGCTTATCAACTAATTTTCTCTTATATCTTAGGCATTACAATGTTAGGTAATTGGTGGAGATGATCGCTATAAAGGGCAATCATTACTGTCCGTATGTTTTGTCATGGAGGAGCTTACTCTGTTTTTCATTTAATGGCTTTTCTCGGTGAAAACATTAGGTGACGTTAGAACCTAGAAGTATAGATGGGGTGCCGAGTTAGTTGAACATCCTTACAAAATTTGTGTTTGTATTAATTTATCTAATGCCATATTATTTCTATTTAAATGATCAAATGATTCAGAAAGTAAACCTTTAAAAAATGATGATGTTGTAGAGGAATGGACACATAGTCCACATGCAGGCTTAGAACTAACAACAGCAGTTATTAGGTATTCTTTGCTTTGAGAGCAAATTCCGTCATTCTTTCTTATACAGTTGTTTATAGTGAAATATTCTCAATCTCATCTTTTTAGAAACAAATACATGGAATGCTGACCATTTCTATTTATTTTTCGTCATTTTGATGTTGCCTGTATGTTTATCATTTCTTATTCTTTTCCCCCTGCTGTTTCATTTGATTAAAGAATAATCATTTCAATCATGTGATGGGGAATCCTAGATTTGGCTATGGGCATGTGAAAATTACTGAAGGAGTTAGTTTAATAGGCTGTTGGCGCATTGGAGGGAAGGACGCATGGCTGTCTTTGTAATTTTGACAGGTGCATATTATCTGGAGATTAATTTAAATGAGAACCCTATGGTGGCAATCACGTTGAAAGATATCATATATCTTTTTTGAGGTAATACTATAAAGCCTGAAATGTTCAACATGCTATCTAAATAATTCTATTTTGAATTGCCTCCATTGATTGTTGTTATGTGTTCAATGCTTACTATTAGTTCTTGGCCCTCTCTTCGGGCTTGATCTTTTATGTCACATCGTAATTTTCCATATAAGTTGGAGGGTAAAAAATAGAAAAAGTATTCTAGTTTTCTCCTTATTAACTTCCAAAGAGGATTCTTCTCGAGTTCTTGAGAGTATTCTCAAATCTCAAGAGACATTCTTAAGAGGTATTCCTGATAGGTCTGTTCTCTTGATTAAAATGATTTTCTATATAATGTGGATATCCACATAGATGTCTGAGATACCTTTGGACTCATCAATGGTCGATTTCCTAATGTCTACTCCAAATATTATGTTAAAGGCCCAAGAGAAATAAGTTGCACTTTTGTCCTTCACCAACGGTTCATCATGTGTGGATGACACATATCCTTGGTTGGTGCTAGATAAAATATGCTATGATAAATTTGGTAGTGGGTGAAAACATGTCAAGAGTTTGACAAATACATATAGACTTATTAAAATTTCATTTTGGAGCAGGGTGTAGTTGTGTAGGCTTGTCAATTAGCGGAGCTTACGGGTAATGAGGCTGTAAGAGTGGTCAAGGAGGGAATTATTGTTGGAGGGGTTCACGATTATGGTTGATGATGTAGCTTTTGGAGATACATTGACTATGGACTTATTAACACCAGAGTCGACAAGATTTCGATCAGCCCAAAGCTTGTCGACAAGGTGTCATGAAGGGACCTATTAGTTAGAGAGCCAACATGTGCTGCTTAGAGGTGTTGATTGGAAGACTAGACAAATAAGAGCCAGTTAGCAGGGTTATATGAGAAGTTGTTGGCAAGGGAATTGTTGGATGATGCTTGTGTGGAGGCTACTGCATTGAGATTCAGGATTCGACTAGAATGTTAAGATGCCAGTTGGAAATTAGAGATGTAGTTAACAACATATCATGGAGACGTTAGTGAGCTGTTGGCTTAAGGTGCCTTTCGTGGAGTGAATGATTTATTTTATAATGCTTTCACAACCAATCTTATCTTGTATTTTTTGTTGTTATTATGCTCCTTTTTATTTTATAGATCTAATTATTTTTTAGTATTTTTCGGTCTTTGGGTGTTTAGTGTCTAGGTATTGTTTTTGTGGAGAGAATTCATTTTTTTCATTTATTTTTAGATCTTACTCACATGAATGTTTAATTTGTACAAGCTATTCCCTATCATTCAAGGTCACCTACATTATAAGCCTCAAATTATATTGAGAAGGAGAGATTAACAATTAATAGGATTTAGAAATCATATGATCTATTGACTTTTGTATCAAGAGTATTGGGCTTAAGGGTGTGATGCCTCGGTATCTAATGAAAGGATTAAATTCTTAAACCTAAATGTTTATGCAAAATAACTTGGTGCCAATTAAAATATCTAAAATAATAAAGACAATTTAAATATCATTCAATTTCATTTCTTAAAATTCATATACAATAATCCAACTTGCATAAAATCTATAAATCAAAAGAATAAGTATTGGTTGACAAAATAACTCAAGGGTTTGCTCCTGTCAATCTTGTCCTTATTAACTTTACTCTGTTGGGCTCTTTCTTTTTCCTGAAAATTAGAAAATTTATAGGGTTAGCACAACCAGCTTAGTAGACTTCTTCCACATTCCCATCACATACATCAATATCCATTTTTATTATAGATAATAAATTGTTCAAATAGTAAGGTAAGCATCAAAATATAAACTAGGTACTGATAGCAGTTAACTTATATAAACTTTAACATGTTTGTGATTTTAATGCAAAAAATATTACTTGAATTTGCACATGACATTGCTTTTATACCTTCCATAGAATGCTTTCATAAGACTATCAGAATATACTTATCATCAGAGCCATTACTTGTACTTTCATAGATAGGTTGCTTTACAGATGTATCAAAATGTACTTATTACTAGAATATTTCTTTCACTTGTATTTATTTAAATTATTCAAAGCATGCAATGCATGAATGAATTATGTCAAGATCTCAATGTCTGCTTATAACTCAACTTTTATTTATAACTTCCTTTAAACCTCCTACATCTACACAAGACAAGTGAGATCAAAACAAAACATAAGACTCCCATATCCACAGAAGGCAGATGAGATCATAACAGAATAACTACTTCCACATCCACACTCAACAAATGTGATCATAACAAAATGTATAGAGTCCTTGTATCATTCCAGAGAGCGTAGTTATAATATTTCAAAAATCAGAACTTCTCTAGTATCATGTTATGAATTATACAGCTTGAATGCACCAACATAAGTTTATGACTTTAAATATGGGTATGATGATATTTATCAACTGGAGTAACATTGCATGTATAAAATCT